CAGGTCTTGTAGTGACGATCTCTCTCAGCAATTGCTTGTCTGTAAAGGATTTTATTTCTCCTTCCCTTATGAAGCCTAGTTTGGCCAGATATGAAATTCTGGGTTGAAAGTTATTTTCTTTAAGGATGTTGAATATTGGCTCCCACTCCCTTCTAGCTTGTAGAGTTTCTGCTGAGAGATCTGCTGTGAGTCTGATGGTCTTTCCTTTGTGGGTAACTTGACCTTTCTCTCTGGCTGTGCTTAGGATTTTTTCATTCTTTTCAACCTTGGTGAATCTGATGATTATGTGCCCTGGGGTTGCTCTCCTTGAGGAATATCTTTGTGGTGTTCTCTGTATTTCCTGGATTTGACTGTTGGCCTGCCTTGTTAGGTTGGGTAAGTTCTCTTGGATAATAGCCACAAGAGTGTTTTCCAGGTTGGATTCATTCTCCCTGTCACATTCAGGTACGCCGATCAAGCGTAGATTAGGTCTTTTCACATAATCTCATATTTCTTGGAGGCTTTGTGCATTTCTTTTCACTCTTTTTTCTCTAATCTTGCCTTCTTGTTTTATTTCATTGATTTGATCTTCTGTCTCTGATATCCTTTCTTCTGCTTGATTGATTCAGCTGTTGAAATTTGTGCATGCTTCATGAAGTTCTTGTGCTGTGTTTTCAGCTCCATCAAGTCATTTATGTTCTTATCTAAGCTGGTTATTCTAGTTAGCATTTTGTCTAACCTTTTTCAGTGTTCTTTGTTTCTTTGACTTGGGTTAGAACATGGTCTTTTAACTCTGAGAAGTTTGTTATTATCCACTTCTGAAGGCTGCTTCTGTCAATTCATCACACTCATTTTCTGTCTTGTTTTGTTCCCTTGAGGGTGAGGAATTGTGATTCCTGGGAGGGGAAGAGGTGTTCTGATCTTTGATGGTTTTATCCTTTCTATGCTGTTTTTTTCCCCATCTTTGTGGATTTATCTCCCTTTGATCTTTGAAGTTGGTGATTTCGGGAGAAATCTCTGAGTGATGTCCTTTCTGTTGCAGTTGGAGCTATACCTTTTTTGGCCCATAGAGGCAATGCTGGGCTGCCTCGGATTCAGGCAGGTTGCTGGGTGGGTGGTCTTCCCTTGGGGTTTGTTTGCAGGTGAAATTACCCCCACCTTCCCAATGGCATCTCTCCTTCCCTGAGCTCAATCTGCCTGATTGGGGTCATATTCATGTATTTACTGCCAAGCTTTCTGGCATGTGGTCTTCAGTTTGAGTTTTGTGTGTGCGTGGGGGAACTGCCAGGCCTTATGACCTGTTTCCCTGCTTTCAACTCTGCCTCTTTCTGTGGGATGGGTTGTTCCATCCTGCTGGCGCTAGTCTAAACCTCCGCCCAGGTCCCACCAACAACCTGCGGCACAAGGAGGGAGTGCTTGCTCAGATTTGCATCGACAACCCACGGTGCCCCTCAGTCTGGTGGGGCTCTTGTGGACCGTGGGTTGCAGGAGGGATGAGGTAAGCACAGGATCCAAATTGGAACACTGAGGGGGTGAAGTTCCTCGATGCTCTGAGCTGGCTGCATGTTCCAGGTGGGGACACACCCCACCCCGTCTTGGTTCGTTCTCCCTGGGTGGCTCTTGCCCAGCTTTGGCTCCCTCTCTGGGCTACTTTCAGAGTCCTTCCAGTCCCCCTAAAATGAACTTGGCACCTCACTTGGAATCGTGAAGTCCTCTAGCCCTCTGCTTCTCATTTGCTGGGAGCTGCATTCTGGTGTGGCCTCCTCTCGGCCATCTTCGCACTGCCCCGCACTGCCCCCCCAAAACTCTATTTTCTATGTGAGGTTCATGGCTTCTTCAATTTTTTTCGACCTTTTGTGAATATTTACTATTCTCTTTGTCAAAGAGCAACCAGAAAAATAAGCATGATCTACAGAAATACTTTGGAGGAGTGTCTGTTCTCTAAAGTTTGGGCAGTATGTCCATGTGTGTACATGTGTGAGATGGTATCTTGTAGGGAACTAGAAAACTCTCCCTTTTAGAGCATGAAGAAAAAAATTTCCATAGCAGTTTTAACACTATGTAATTATAGAATAAACGGGCCATTGGCTTTTGCTAGAAAATAGCACATGACATGGCAGCATACATTCTGGAGGGAAATCTAGTTACCAAGAAACAAGAATGTGTGTCCAGGTCCAATTTATGTAGATTATACAATAGATACTGGACACATATCTACTGGCCAGTCCAGATATATAAAGACATGTGACTTGTTAAAAGGTTAATTGAAAGATATCAAGATGTAGTGTTTAGGGCAAAGTTGTTGGGAGAGGTGGAGTCATTACATTCTGTATATGAGAAGGAAAACAACAAAGCAGATAATGGTGGAAAGAGAGACAGGTGGAACTGTGCACCAGAAGCAGGCACCAGTGGAATGGATTCCTGCCTTGCCTGTGATATGTAAAGCTCTGGCTTTTATTATGTGAGCAAAGCAAGGCTTTTTCTATGAAAATGTTCTTGGAAAGAAATTTTCTTTTCTTATTGCTTTGGTAATGCACATAGCAAATCAAGTATTTGTTTCTGTGTGATATGGTGGACACTAATAAGTTAATTTCAGGTTCATAATTGAATTTTTTTCTGTAGAGATCAGTGTTTCTGTGAGGTTCTATTACGCTGACTATTCAAAACTGCACAAACAACTTGACAACATGAACATTAGCCAGAACAATAATCCTCAGCACAGTTAGTGTAACTGGCAACTAAAAAATTGAGAGAGCTATAATGGGAACTTGTGGTGGCAGAATGATGGCCCTCCCAGGACGTCCATGCCCTAATACCTGCTGTCATACCTATGTATGTTGTGCCACATGGTAGAAGGGACTTTGCTGACAGAATTAAGGTTATGGACCTTAAAATGGGGGGGCTTATTCTGGATTATCTGGGTGGGTTCCATGTGATCATATGGGCCTTTTAAAGTGGAAGAGGAAGGCAAAAGAATCAGAGTTGCAGCAGAAAATGAGAGAGGAGGAGATATTAAAAATGTGAGAAGGACTCAACCTTCCTTGATTAATTTGAAGACAGGAGAAGGGGGCCATGAGCCAAGGAAAGCAAGTAGGTTCTGGACATTGGAAACAGTTCTCAGCTGACAGCTGACAGCAAGGAAATAGGAACCTTGGTTCTATGTCTGCAAGGAGCTGAATTCTCCCATCCACCCAAATGAGCCAGGAAACAGATACTCCCTCAGAGCCTCCAGAGAGGAATACAGCCCTGCCCAGCCCTTGATTTTGGTCTCATGGGTCTACAAGCAGACAAACAGCTGAGCCCAGCAGACTTCTGACCTACAGAAATAGTGAGAAAACAAATTTCTGTCATTTTAAGCTGTGACATTTGTGGCAATTTGTTATAGTAGTGATAGAAAACTAATACAGTAGTCATTGAAGGTATCTCTTTTTGGGAAGTTGGGGAATAATTTGGCTGAGAGGCTGTCTTCTTGGAAGTTTAGCTCATCACTAACCAAAAGGAGTCCTGAAGAGCACAGAGAACTGTCACTGAATATTTGTTAATCCTCTACCAAGTGCCAGGTGCATTTTAGGAACATGGCTAAAGCTTGAGACAAAACAGATAAAAATCTCTACCTTCAGGTTTCTTAAATCCTGTGACTTAGGAATGATAAAGTAACACCCAGTATTGGTAGGAAATGAGAACTCAGGGGAAAAATACAGCAGGAAAAGGTATAAGGAACATTTTGGGATGCAATTTTAGATGAGAGTGTTTACTCAGAAATTGACATTTGAGTAAAAATATGAAGGAGGTAAAGGAATAAGCCTGTCTGAGGGAGAGGGCAGATCTTATGGATACCTCAGGCATTATAAAAACTTATGTTTTGAGATGGGGAGCTGTTGAAGGATTTGGGGTGATTATGTCAAAAATGAAGAAAAGGAAGTGTGAAGTAGATTCACTGTGCACTAGTTACCAACTAGCCTGAGTCCAGTGAGGCAAAATACTCAGCGTACAAGTTATATGAAAAGGGTTGATTACCCACAGGTAGGCAGCAAGGAAAACCAGAAGCCTAGGAGTCATTGGCAACTGGTCCCCATGGCTCGGGAAAGCTGCCTGGGCTGGATGGAATCTCAGCTGCTCATGAGCTGCGTACATCACAGCGGAGGGACCCCATCAAACAGCCCAACCCTGGTTATATACCTCAGGGAATACACGGTGCACTGGGCTAATGTCTGGAGATATCCTGTTTCTGGGAGGGTCTGGAACAGAGCCTGGACTGTTCCAGGCTGTTCTCCAGCCCTTATCTCAGCATGTTGCATTTACAGCACATTCTATAGTTATTCTTGAGAACTACAAGAAACAGGGGCAGGGAGAATTAGGTTCTTCAATGCCGCCCAGAAAATTGTGCTGCAGAAAGAAATGTTGGAATCAGGAGAACCAGTCATAGGCTGTCGCACTCATTCAGGTTGGACCTGAAGTGGCTTGGACTATCATGGTGGCAGTGACGGTTGTGAGAAGTGATGAAGTTCTGGATTCATCTTGAGAAGAGTAGAGTTTATGAGAATTTTGTTTGAGATGAATGCTAAAGTCCAAGAAATTGCTAAAAGTATTGGCAAAAAGAGAAAACTGAGTCTTGGGACTTAACAGTGAGGGGCACTGTTTCAGGTGTTATGTTCTTTAAAAACAGTTTTCAAGAATTGAGTGTAAAAATGTAGCTACAGCTATGGTGGTCAGAAGAGCTTGACTACAGAATTTGTTCACAATGATTTCCATTGTTTCTTATAAATTAATTGCTATAGCTTTCATAACTAGTATGCTGGAATAATTTGTGTGCAAAGCAAATGTTCCTACAAATGGACCTTTGATGAAGCCACAGAGATGAATTTTGGGACATTTGCATCGCATCTATCCTATCTAGTTTCTAAAACTACCCATTTGTTTTAATTTTGCTATAGGCAATGACCTGAAATTTTGCATTTTGAATGCATTTGTTCTCTGGTTTCAACTACCTTTTTGTTTAACTTTTTTTTTTTCTTCATTAGAAGGTAATTGTTTCCCTGAATGGGATGGACTCATTTGTTGGCCCAGAGGAACAGTGGGGAAAATATCGGCTGTTCCATGTCCTCCTTATATTTATGACTTCAACCATAAAGGTATTGACTTTTTCTGAAATGATTAATTTGAAACAAACATTTACTTGTCATTATTTTTTGATAATTGATTCTAAGGGAACTGAGTGATCTCAGCATCTTTCATGTCTTTACAGGAGTTGCTTTCCGACACTGTAACCCCAATGGAACATGGGATTTTATGCACAGCTTAAATAAAACATATGCCAATTATTCAGACTGCCTTCGCTTTCTGCAGCCAGATATCAGCATAGGAAAGGTAATGGAATTTTTCTATTTGTGAACTCCTGAGGGAAAGCAGAATGATGTTTGAATGCAATTCTTGATTGCCAACTATTACATATATAAACCCTCTTATTCCATGACACAGGGATCATAAAAGATAAAAGCAATGTTGCAATCTTTTCAGATGTGTATCAATCTTTCTGGTATTTTCTATAGCCTAGAGCTATCTGGCTGAGATACATCCATCCATACTTATAAATATACCTGTGTATGTGTTATGTGTGTTATGTTACATTATGTTATGTTTACATTGCATTATATTATGCTATATTACATATAAAAATCCCAATAGGTAGTTAGCAACATGATTCATTATTTCTTCTTGGTTACCTGTGAATGGCTACATTTCATCTGTATATTCCAGAAGGATCTTTGCATGTTAGAGGGTATTTTCCACTTCATAAGATTTACCAGTAGGTGATTTCATTAGCATATAAAAGATTAGAGTTGTAAGATTAAAGAGGAGCAAGGGGCATCAGATAAATCTTCCAGCATAATATATTAATTTCACAGATGTGAGTCAACTGAGAACCAGAGATTAGGTATTGGTCAAAGTGACATAGCTTGGTGATAACAGGGTTTAAAGCAGAGCCTTTATGTCCTAATTTCACATCAGTGCTGTTTCCAATATAGAAATCATATGCAAACCTTGAGATATTGTAGAGAGTAACTTTTAAGTTATAAAAGTTGGTTTAAAAGTCATGTTTAAATTGATATCACTTAGACATCATGAGTAAAAATGCATGATGATATATGCATATGATGCTAAGGGTTAATGTGATAAATTGTGTGTAAATTATCTTTATGTAGACCCTGAGAATAATCTATCAGACATAAACTTTTCAAACTTTTGACTTATTTCTTTACGTCTGGTAATGTTTTGGAGAGGTAGGGAGGGAGAGCAGCGGCAAGAGAAGTAGTGAGTTGAAGGTTTCTTTCTTTGATTTTGCATTAATAGAACTTCCTTTCTTAACTTTCTACCTTAATGAGCTCTTTAGGAATTGGTTGAAAGACTTTCGGTTTTACATTTAATTGTTGAAAAGCTTCTTAGATAAAATAAGTCAAGATGAGGAGATTGTTAGGTACTCTACAGTGGAACTAATATCAGCATTCAGTTTAGATAAAATGCTTCAAAATAATTTCAATCTCATTGATAGAAATAAATATTCACTAATAGTGTACTCTGTGGTTATCTTTATTTTTGCATTATGTGATGTAAAATGCAAACCTTTCAGAACTATTAAGTGACCATTAAATTAAACCATGGTTTAATTTATACTGAACTCTAATCTTATAACCATTTTCTGTGATTACTGTGTATTTTAAGAATAAAAATAACTAAAGATGGTTGGTGGCCATACTCAAGATATGCACTAGTTTATGTACAATGATTTAAAAGTTAATAGAAAATTTGAAGAATTGTGTTAAAATAATTTAATTTTATCTCCTTAATTAAAAACACAAAGAACATTTTCTATTGTTTGCAACCTTTAAGTAATAATTTGGGAAAACCCAAGAAAACAAAATATCTTTAATAAGAAAACTAGATATATCCTGAAGTTTTGACACACTGTAAGGCAAAATGATATTACTTATTTATGAGATATAAATTATTAATAATTAATTAAGTTTTTTTATAAGGAAGGAAAAGCAAAAAAACTAAAAAAGCATACATTTAGAATAAATGCCACGTTTTTATTGAGAAAACAAGACTAAGATATTTTTGAGCACCTTTTTCTCTAAATTTTTATATAATTAGCTTAGCAAAATGAGGTAATGATTTTAGTTAAAAAAAAAAGGGAAGAAATTCTACTGATAGGTCACAAGATTATTAAATTTTTTTAGAGTGTGATATTTAAAACAGTAGCATACTATAGAAACTACCATATAATACATCTGCTGTCCAAAGGTTAGATGTACTTTTGGAAAGCAATTTAGCAGTGTATATTTAAAAACTTCAAAGGGATCATATTCTTTGATTTTATAAATTTACTTCTAAAATCAAGCATAAGGATTTAGAATGGGGGAACTGAATGGGAAAAATGTTCATTGAACAAATTATTATAGTGAATATTTCAACGAGTTTAAATTTCTAATAAAGACTGGTTAAATAAGCTCAGATATATGTATATAAATTTTATGAAGAGTTTGCAGCCTTGAGCAATTATTTCGTCACCCAAAAAAATTCAGGAATAAACTTGTATATAAATTGAGAATGCAGATGCATAAAATAATAGGCAATGCTTTACAGAAATGGAATGAAAAGAAATACATGAAGTGCTAGCTGGACATGGTGGCCTCTGTCTGTAGTTGCAGCTACTTGGGAGGCTAGGATGGGAGGATCTCTTGAACCAAGAGTTCAAGATCAGCCTGGGCAACATAGGGAGATGCCATCTGTTAAAATAATAACAACAATGACTTCAAGAAATATGTGAAGTACATTAAGTACTAACAAACAGTGTTTTTTCCTGATTAGTTAGAATTTGTAAGATTTTTTTCCCTCCTCTCTTTTATATTTTAAACACTATTCAAATATTTTCTATAAAATGTTTTACTATCATATTAGGAGAAAATAATTAGTAAACAATATATTTTTAAAAATAACAAAAGTCTTCTGCTTCCAGTCATATTGTAGGCAGTTGCAACAAGAATAAGTTGGGTAAGATGGAAAATCAATAATATGTAAAAATTAGTTGAGGATGCCAAGAAATCTAAATGAACTAAATTCCAGAAATGGCAAGTCCTTCCTATGACAGAAGAGACCCATGGCTGTGTGTGTCCTTAGGACCACAGTAGAAGAGGAGACACCAGGCCATTGAAGGGGATAAAGAGAAAAGAGACAAGCTTTTATATCAACTTTTAGCAGACAAGGGCTGGCATAAGGGCTTAGAATCCCAAGGAGTAAGCCCTAGCCTCAGTGAGCTATGATCCACCTGGTAATTCTTTACTATGGGAACTTCACCAGGTGCATGGAGGAAGTATGCCAAAGGCTGGGGCAGGCAGAGGGCTCAGAGAAATCCCTTGAGTTGTGTGTAGGGCACTCACAGTGAAAGGCAGCAGTTGGCTGAAGCCATGGATCAGGACAGAGGAGCTGAGAAGCATCCCTTGAGGCACATAGGGCCCTCACTAATTGCATGACTGATGCAGCCCACAGGCCAGGAGAAGGGCAGGGAAGCTGAGAGAAATCCTCTAAAGATGCACAGTTCTCACTGAGTGTAAGGCAGCGGCCAATCGCAAGTCCAGGCCTCTGGAACTTCTGACTAACCACCTTCAAGTTGGGGTTCCCACGAACCCTTCTTTAAGCTTGATTAATTTGCTAGAGGAGCTCACAAAACTCAGGGAAACACTTACGTTTACTATATATTATTATAAAGGATATTTTAAAGGATACAAATAAGCAGCCAGGTAAAGAGACATACAGGGTGAAGTCTGGAAGAGTCTGAAGTGAAGGAGCTTCTGTTCTGGTGGAGTTGGGGTGCACCTGCCTTCTGGTAGATGGATGAGTTCTTGTTCACCTTCCTGTAAGCCTCCATAACTTCAGCTGTCTAGCAGCTCTCCATATCCCATTTTCTTGCCCCTTTTATGGAGACTTCATTGGGCTGGCCTGATTGAAACATGGAAAATCCTTGCTGGGTTCCCCATTTACTCTATTAGTATTAGATCATATCCTTTTTGTTCAGTCACATTTCTATACCATTGTCCAATCTTAAAAGGTCACATACTGTATAATTCTTATGTGACATTTATGAAATGACAAAATTATAGAGATGGAAAACAGATTAAGGGCTGTCAGGTGTTTAGGATGGTGGAGAGGAAGATGTGTCACAATAAACAGGCAGAACAAGGGAGAACTTTGTGATGGGGAAATTGTTCTGTACTTGATTACAGTAATGGTTACAAAAATGTACATATGATAAAATGACATAGAACTATAAATATGCACATTGCATCAAGGCTAAATTTCTGTTTTTGATATTTTAGTATAATTGTGTAAGATATAAGCTTTAGATAATATTGGTTGAAGGGAACCTGGGCTTTCTTACAATATTTTCTACTTCTTTTTAATCTGTAATTATTTTAAAATAAAATAATTGAAAAGGAATGAACCATTTATACATGTGACAATATTGATGAATATAAAAAAGAGTATGTTGACAAAAAGAGTATATGCTGTTTTATGTAATTCTAAGAAGTCTAAGAGGGCTGGGCGCGGTGGCTCACACCTGTAATCCCAGCACTTTGGGAGGCCGAGGTGGGTGGATCATGAGGTCAAGAGATTGAGACCATCCTGGTCAACATGTGAAACCCCGTCTCTACTAAAAATACAAAAAATCAGCTGGGCATGGTGGCACGTGCCTGTAATCCCAGCTACTCAGGAGGCTGAGGCAGGAGAATTGCCAGAACCCAGGAGGCAGAGGTTGTGGTGAGCCGAGATCGCACCATTGCACTTCAGCCTGGGTAACAAGAGCAAAACTCTGTCTCAAAACAAAAAAGAAAAAAAAAAGAAGTCTAAGAATAGTCAAGAAGTATATGAAGTATGTGAACAGAGAAAGCTAATTTGTGGTGACAGATATTGGAACAGTGGTTTTCTGGGGGTGGATGATGGGTGTTTTTTTTTTTTTTTTTTTGGTTGCAAAGGGCACAAATGAAATTGGTTTGTCAAAACCTATCAAAATGCTCACTCCAGATCTCTACATTTTATTGCATGCAAATTACAGCTCAAAAAAGTTAAAGAGGATTAGAAATAATATTCCAAAAATAACATAGTATTTCTTTTCCAGTTTATTTGTAAAATAGTCCCATATCATACATGAGTATCTCTTCCCTTCCAGCAAGAATTCTTTGAACGCCTGTATGTAATGTACACTATTGGCTACTCCATCTCTTTTGGTTCCTTGGCTGTGGCTATTCTCATTATTGGTTACTTCAGGTGAGTGATGCCCATCACTTTCTCCGTGAAGGGACACATTCTGTTTCCTCATCAGAGAAGACATAGAGGTCTCATAATATTTTCCTCAAATGCATGGTTTTGAATTCAGCCTAATGTTATTATATTATTTGACAATTAATTTTACATGACAAATTCAGAGTTCTTTGTTTAAAAACTTAAAGCATCAAAGTAGTATTAAACCTCTAAACCAATAAGCATGTATTGCAGTATATTTGTTGCAAAGTGGAACAGCATCGAGTTGAATGAGTTCCCAAGTGATTTTGGTGCCATTGGACAAAAGTTCATCTTAATTAATTCCCAAAATTATCAGATATCAGTACATAAAGAAACAGTATTTATTACTTTTGTTATGGTTTATTTTTTTATCCACTTTAGCATGTGTCCAATTCCATTCAGCTTAATCTAAATCATTATAAAATTCTGAGCACCAATTCAGTTGGCCCTCTATATACGGGATTTCACATCCTCAGATTCAACAGACTGTGGATGGAAAATACTGAGGAAAAAAGTTTGATTATGTTTGTACTGAACATTTACATACTTAATTTTTTTTCATTTTTCTCTAAATAATACAGTATAACATGTACTTACATAGCATTCACATTGTATTTGGTATTATAAGTAATCTAGAGATGATATAAAGTAACAAAATGATATGCATAGTTTATATGCAAATACTACACTATATCATATAAGGGACGTGAGTATCTGCAGATTTGGGAATTTGTGTGGAGTCTCGAACCAGTCCCTGCTGGAAGGGAGCAGGCAGACTGGTGGTGGCAGCAGTCACCCTGGGTGTTTTCCCCCATTTTTGATTTTATCCAAATTTAAATACTGAATATTTCTCTCCATAGACGATTGCATTGCACCAGGAACTATATCCATATGCACTTATTTGTGTCTTTCATGCTGAGAGCTACAAGCATCTTTGTCAAAGACAGAGTAGTCCACGCTCACATAGGGGTAAAGGAGCTGGAGTCCCTAATAATGCAGGATGACCCACAAAAGTCCATTGAAGCAACTTCTGTGGACAAATCACAATTTGTAAGTGTTTTTACCTTTTTCTCTCATTACTAATTTGTCTAACATTACAAATAGGTACAATTTTATAGTCTGCTAAACTTATGATACCTTGTTTTTGCTTATCTTATCTGCTGATAAATCCAAAATGGATTATCAATTTGTATAGTGATGTTTTCTCCCTCAATTCTGTCCTTTCATGTCTAATCAATCAACATTTTATTAAAAGTTCTTGGGTTTTTCCCTCAAGAACATTCTGGAATGGAAATTGCAAAATATACAAGATTTGAATGGTATTTGGTGTATGCACCACAGCAACTGTCGTGGCTCCCCACTTCAGAAAGTAAAAAACCCATCAGCAAAACCAGAAGCTTGCAACTTAAAAGCCCATGATATTTAGTCCCTTTATTCAATTTCCAAAGACTTATATATAAAATTTATGTTACTTGATTCTGCTCTTGAATTGTACTGGTGGTAGAAAATAGATTCACCCAATAATTCACTCCATTAGATCATTGAAGCAATACATCTGAAATTAGGCAAAGTAGATTGATTATCTTGATAGTGTGAAATAATACCCTGTCTGGATCTGTGCCTTTGCCCTGCAACTTTATAGTCCCCACTGATCCCGATTCTGGGCTGGCACTGTGACTTGTTTTCCCCAACAGAAGGAAGTGGAAGTGATAGTGTACCAGTTGAGAGTAGACGTCTAATGAGTGAGCCTAGCTGAGACAAGCCTAGCCCAGATCAGCAGAGCTACCCAGCCAATAAACAGATTTGTAAGACATATTAAATGTTTATTGTCATAAGTCACTAACTTTGGGGAGCAGCTTGTTTTGCAGGAGTAGTTACATAAAAAGACCAAAATAAAATAAATTCAAGCTAGAAATATGGATAATATTTTCTTCATTATGCTTTTCTATATGTTCCTAATTTTCTGTGAGGGTTGCGCATGATTTTTATAAAAAGAAAAAACTGAGAAAAGTAATTTTTTTGGTAACTTCTTAAAGAAAAACTATTTTAAAAGTAGAATCAAGTTCATAGTCTTGAAAAATGCTGCATCCCCAAAACCTAAAGTGCAATAAAATAAATAAATGAAAAAAAAGAAAAAAAGAAAAATGCTACACCAAAATAACTGTTTCGGCCTCTCAACAGTTTTGACTTTCCTTTGTACAGGAGACATATTAGCCTGAAAAAGAAACTGAAGACTTGTTTTTTAGTGATCTCATTGTTGGCATCCAGTACATCAAAGAGTTCTAATATGATGCAATTCTGGTTTATTTGTAACAGATTGGGTGCAAGATTGCTGTTGTGATGTTTATTTACTTCTTGGCTACAAACTATTACTGGATCCTGGTGGAAGGTCTCTACCTGCATAGTCTAATCTTTGTGGCTTTCTTTTCGGACACCAAGTACCTGTGGGGCTTCATCTTGATAGGCTGGGGTAAGGCATTTATATCTTTGTTCCTTTCAAATTGGATGATGGATTTGATGATCTTCTGTCATGCCCATCATTCACGTCCCTACAATCGGAAACAGTCCTTCCCTTCTTATTTTTGTCTCCCTTTCTTTTATTGTTCTATTCTTAGACAAAAATAATTAATATCAAGTCTATAATTCTCTCAGTGGTGAAGAACTTTTAAAGTTATTTATGGTTAGTGATCTTAGGCCAGATTTTTGAGAGGATTCTTTCGAGGAAATGAAAGAGAACTCATTTTAAGTCATATACATCTACAACTAAATGTCAGTATTCTGCTTTATCAATAATTTCTTCTTAAAATTTTTTATTTTTAAGTTTCTAAGCTGTAATCATATTTTTGATTTGCATTTCTAGGACAAACAATGAGAATATTAGGAATGAATTTGTAGGACCATCCTGACTGTATTTAACAAATACAAATTACAATCTAATTGTATGGACTTACCATATGCTTTAGAAGGAAAAGTATTCAGCTCTCATTCCATAAATGACTTAGCAGTACAAGGGGGATTACTGGATTAGGCCCTGACTCAACATGACATGGAGACAAGAAATTGCTTGTTAAAAATTAAGGAAAATTAAAACTCACATTGGTTAAAATTGAGAAGAGGTTGGAGATTAGCAGTTGCAAATCTCAATTGCTATTTTAATATTTAAATTACGAGGTGCTCAGCATAGGAAAAAAAAATCACTAAGCAGCTCAAGACTAAATTTAAAGGGTTTTTTTCTCTCCAAAATAAGAATATTCCTTTGCCTATTTTGTCTTAACTTTTTTCTTAATAATTGAAATGTGAAGTAAGGAATGCTGAACTTTCTGCTAGCTAATTAACAACCTTTAAGAAGAAAAAAATCAATGTTACTCTTATTATGAAATAATCATCACAATTAAAGTTTTATTTTTTTAGACAGCTCATCTATTTTAAGGCTGTTCCTTATCTCTTTGATTAGCAGTTACTGAAAATAAAAAATATGTATTTTGCTTTTTTAGAATCCTTGGAAATTTTCTTGACAGTTTTTGGTAGTTTGCCTTCCTTCAAATCAAAATTATATCTGTGTTCCCACATAATTATTAGGAGTTGGAAAAGGTGTTGATAGAAAATTCAATAATGAATTTAGACATTTGTTTATTTGGGTTATATTTTATTTTTCACATTTCCTTATTATTGCTCAGATTTGTGATAAATTCTTTTTCTTCTCTTTACTTATGTCTTGATAGTTACCTGGTGCAAGCTTTCTTATCAACTCTTTATTTGGGCTTTATTACTCAGTCTCTCTGTCCTTACAGTAAGGAGTTTGTCCCACTGGATCTCAGAAAACACAAATCTTTCTATGGAAAAGACAATTTAAAGAAAAGCTAAGGTGCCAGTGAGCTTCTATGCAAGTATAGTTTCTTACCTTCTTTTACAGCTTTTATTAATTTGTCCACAAAAGTTTTGGCATAGAGAAGACAACTACAATAGAAATCTTCATTTCGTGAAATAGTTTAAGAACATACATGAAAGCAAGTAGAATTTTCATGGAAACTCTCTGTGAAACCATTTTACATGCCACATTTTGCTCACTTAGCCACAAGTCAAAACAGTAATAACTATTCTTTATGGGATTACGGTTCTATAGCTGGTCTATCTTCTGATTCTCTCTTTGCATTTCCATTTTTTGAAAAAAATACTCTAGTCTAGGGCATATATAATGAAAATAATAGTAGTATTCCTTTGAGATTCTCTCTCTGCTCCTAAGACACAGCTATCATTGAATGAAGTATATATCAAAATCTGTTTGATTTATGGATTGTCTTTTATCTCAACACTGAGAGACTGATTTAAAAATATTATTTTTATATCTGACTCATTTTTCCAAATTCATTTTCTGAATTATCAAAAACATTATATATGTTTTGCAGGATACTTTGCTAGAATAATTGAGAGTGAGTCCAATTTTATACTTACTTCCAATGATGTTATTTACTGGCTTCATTAGAGCATAGAACTTGCTTAAATTCCTTTGTTTCTCATTTGGACCCAAATGTTAGAACTTTAAGCTCTTTTTAGCTAGGTAAATACTCAGAACACTGTTAGTCACATTGTAGTGATGAGTTATAATTACATTGATCGTGATGATCCTTTTCTTTTAAATGTTTTGTTATTTTATTTATTATTATTTATTAGAGATGTGGTCTTGCAATGTTGCCCAGGCTGGTTTTGAACCCCTGGCCTCAAGTGATCCTGTTGCCTTGGCTTCCCAAAGTGCTGGGATTACAGGTGTGAGTGACTGTGCACAATCTGATTGTGATGATTCTTAAGAATAAATTGGGAGGAAAGGAAATGACAGTATGAAGAATAGGTGTCATATCTGACCTTTACTAAATTGAAGGCAAATATTTAAAATAACTGTACATTTTTTTATTATAAAACCAGATTTATAGAGAAGTAAAGGTGAATACTAGTGATAACTGTTTTCTTTCAACCAGGCACATTGTTAATTTTCCCCAATCCTTGCCTCAGTTTTATAAATAAGATGCTTTATTCTTAGTTCCATTTTATTTCAACTACACATTTTCCTCTATTTTAATTCTATATGTAAAATATATGTCTTCTTTTTTAATTTTTACTCAATATGGTAATTTACTTCTATATTGGCAGCCATCCTTAATTTTCAACTGTCAGAAGGAACACCAGTATATACATATCATCATACAAAAGCACCCATCCTAGTAATACCATGTAGTCATTTCCCTGTTGCCAAGCTTTTACATAGGATATTTTCATATAATGTGTTCCCGAAAATAATCAGGAGAAGGTCCCACACTCCTGTTTTATTCCCTTTGTAAAATATCTTAATCCAGCAAATACTTTTTGGTCATCCATTTGGCAGTAAGTGTTTAAACACAGAGACATGTGTTAAAGCCTCCCACACAAGATGCATGCACTCTGACCCTTTAGGTTATTTTTTTGTTTGTTTTCTTGTTGTGACCATATATATTATATTCAACATTTTAAATTTATAAAACCTGTCTTCACAAAACTTATTTATGTGGTATTGACATGTCTTATGAAAATAATTCAACTTTCAGTAAATGCATATGTTGGATAACAGTTAAATTTATATTGTTTACTTACTTTAACATTTAAATTTAAAATAATATTTACATGTCAAGTATTTTTGCCTTTATTCCTGTGTTCTAAATTATGTAACAATGTCATATTAGTCTTAATATGTGCATGTCATTATTTTCATCTTTTTCTTTAAGGTGATCAAAAATCCTTAAAGGATCCCAAAGTGTTTTTCTGTTCTTTATTTTTCTGTGGTAGTCTCTGTGCTAGTCTTATGCATAAGATTCTCTAAGAAGATGAGGAAAGCAATTTCATGAACACATAGTGCTTATGTATGATATTTGATATAATTGTCATCTAAAACATAATGTAAACTCAAGCACCATTAATAAATATTGCATAGAACAGCATTCAGGAAGTACCTGATCAGAAGACTATAAAGGAAACAGAAGCCGCAGATCTAAAAATGATAAAATGTGAAAACTGATGAAAGACAGGCAGACACTTTTTGAAGATAACCAAGATAGAATAGCTGAGGGATCTATGTCTGGCTTCATGGTAGGATCTATGCCAGGCTGTGTGGTAGGATTTATATCTAACCATCCCACTAGAAGCAACTGCCCCCTTCCAATTACATAGTATCACTTTTATTTATTCTTCATAGCACCAATTCATAACTAAAAGCAACTAAAACAACTAAAGTTGCTTCATGAATTTTGACTCCTTCACTAGAATATAAGTTTTAGAAAACAGAGATATTGTTTATTTGTTCATTATTTATGTCATTTAGAACAATCTTTGACAAATAAATAGGCACTTAATAAATGACTAGAGAAATGACTGGATTGATGAATAGAGATAGATAAATACAGACAGATAGACAGATAGATAGATAGATGATGGATAGATAGAATATGCAAACTGAACCTAAGAAATAACCAGAATTAGGTAGATCTATTTTGACAAAAATTTCCTAGAGCACAGAATTTGAGCAGATTAAAAAAAGAATACTATAGAACAAGAAATAAAATTGGAATATAGAATCATACAATTCAGTAGTCATATAGGCAGGCTGAACTTAAATTTGGTGAGTTAGATGGTTACCAAGGAGAACAAAGACGTTATTGTGCATGTCATTATTTTCATCTTTTTCTGAAAATTGTCTTTTTCTAAGCCTATTCCTTTGTTCATTTTGTTGCTAAGAAAGAATATCTAAAAAAATTACAAATGTGTTTTTTAAAAGGTAAAGAATTTAAAATTGTGCTTGATAAAGAATGTTCTTGGCTAGATCAAAATGCTTTTTTCTCTTTTTGTAAGGTGCTTCCTAGACTCTAAAATGTTTTCCTTATGGTTTCTGTGTATTCTTTATTTAAACCTCTTTCATAAAGGCCATGTAATGAAAAGTCATCTCTTAAGTCTTTCAGTCCCCTACTGCAGGGTTTCATAAAAGTTATGGTTCCTGAATTTTTGTGTGATGTCAGAGTTTAATCAGCTACAATATGAACTGGAACGTGAACTTTTACTAGGGGGCAAAAGAAAGTCAATATAATGGATTTGATGTTGCAAGTTCAGAAGGTGTTTAGCATTTTTGAAGGACAAATATCTTGTGCTCAAATCATCAGACGAATGTAGTGGTCACCCTTTCCTATTAATGCATGAAAATGCTTCTATCTTGCGCCGTTATGAACTAAAAGAACGAAGAGACTAACCTAGTTAAAACTACCCGATTTTTATATCTTGCCTCTGTATGCCTTTGACTTTGAGGATGAAAAAGTTCTAAGTTTTTAAAGCAACAGCATCCCTCAGCTTCTCAGGAGTCCCTGTTGTTGCTTCACTCTTTGGGAGTATATGACGGTCAGTGTGGCATGAGTCAAAGTCAAATGCGCCAACAGTCGCCTACTTCTGACCCTAGGAACCTCAGTCTTCTCCAAATATGGCTTTTTCCTATGCCCCTCAAATAAAAATTAGGCCAATTTTTATCTTCAGACTAGAGGAAAAAATGACATCAATATTCTTGCTAATTTCTCAAACTGACATGATTGAAATTCAGTGGACTTTTCTTGTTCACATACCAGCATTTTTTATGTCAGTTTTTCTCTCTCAACTGCTAATAGTATATTCCTATGTATGGTGAATTTGAGGAAGAAACCCCTTAATCTTAAAATAAATCTAGTCTCTGAATCATTTTCTGATTGCAGGGTTTCCAGCAGCATTTGTTGCAGCATGGGCTGTGGCACGAGCAACCCTGGCTGATGCAAGGTGAGTGAAAAAGAAGAGGAAAAGAGAGCCAAAGATGTTCTCAAGATGCAGGCTCGGAATTCACACTTGCTGCTGTTCTTGATGCCATTGCTCTTTAGGGATGCACAAGGATAATTACTTTGATGCAATGATAGCTTCTGATACATTACCAGTAAGCTGTCTATTCCAGAGGTCATAGAGCAGAAACACTCAGAGACTAGATGAAGGTGACTGAACTCCATAGATTATGAAATAAATTTAAAATATAATGTGAGAAGCAAGTGGAACGAGATGGGTAAGAGAATCAGTTTAGGATTTAGTGCAAGCGGGTTGAAGAACCACACTACCTGATTTCCAGGGTAGGCAACGTTCATACTTCCTCTCTTTCTCTGCCACATCAACTTTCCCTGTTGATGGTGTGGTTATGAGGACCAGGGATAAGGTGGCAGGAAGGGTAATGACAGACAGAATTTGGTGCCCTGGGCCAGTGACACATACTTACTCCCTCATAGAGATTGAGGGACAATTGTAGTTTCCTAATTAGCCTGCGGAGAAGTTCTGGGTTTTATTTGTGGCCCTTGGGAAAAGGACATGTGGGAAGGAGTTCCATCAATCAGTGGCTGATAATGCCCTCAAAAGTGTTAAGAACTTCCTGTGTATCAGGGATTGTTTATAGTTCTTGTATCTTTAGTATATCGTGAATGTTTAGAACCCATTTGCCTCATATATCTTTAGTATCTGTGTTTAACACACATGTGTTACTACTTACTCATCACTTATCTATACTTAATGCAAATGGTGGGTTTCATGCATTCCATTTCTTTTCCTATCTTCTATAGCAGAAGTATTTTAAAATAATAAAACAAACATGCATTAGAAGTGGAATTTATCTCTGTGAGTCATTAAGTTCTTCTAGGTAGCATGAGGCCCATTTAATGTATCATTTTAAAGTGCAGGGCAACAATTCTGTAAATCATTTAAAATGTATCATTTTAAGGATGCATTTTAATGCATCATGATTCACCTAATACATTCAAGGAACCATTTAAATGTAAAGGATACCTTTGCATTACATGGTAATGAACCCTTTCTTTATATTTTGACAGACCTGAGTTCAAATCTTGATATAACTGCTGCTAGTTTTGGGACCAAGGGACCCAAAACACATATTCTCTTTGTATATCAGCTTCTTGTGTATAAAACAGAGATAATAATGTATAAATGGCATTAATACATTATTATTAACACTTAGCATAGTGCCTGGCACTAAATGGGAGTGTGCTGAGAAGAAGCTCAGATACAGGTGCCTTATAGGCTTGTTCTGCTACTTCTTGGTTCTGGAACAGCAGATGTGCAGTCTAACCTCCCTGGGCCTCAGTTTTCTCAGCTGTCAAATGCAGATAAAATGAATACTACTCTTTACAGAGTTGTTGTAAGAATAGATGAGATAGTGTGTGTAAAATACTTACTGCAAAGTTTGGAATATGCTGGTAGTAAGTGCTAAATACTCATTAGCAAGTATTACTCTTTTGCTTCATTAATCTGTACTCATAGGTAATGTCTAGTTAAAAAAATTAAAAAATAGCATTTTTGTATATTGTTATTTCATTAGAAAGCTGAACTCATCCTTTTATTAATCCTAGCCTACAATATTTGGATTTTGATCCTGTCAAGCTGATGGAAACCTGATTTGGCTGAAGCTAGAGCTTATGAATTAGGCTGTAGAAAAGATGAGGAGTGGAGGCCTTATAGACCCTCCTAGGCCAGATTAGGATGTTTGGCCTTTGTTCAGTGATAGTACAGCGAATTTGCATTTTGTAAAGATCATCACCAGAACATAGGGTAATAATACCCGATGTTGGAAGAATGTAATAATAAAAACAGTTACTGGCATTTCTGAGTGCTGACCACCTTCCAGATACTTTATAATTTTGCAAATATTAAGTTAATCAAAACTCATCATCAACTCTATGACACTGAGGTCAGAGAAGTGGTGTCCAAGGTTGCATGACTGGTAGAAAAGGACTTTGATCTCAGACATTCAGGCTCTAGAGGCATTCAGAAAATACTTATAGGCAGATGAGATGTTTCTATTGAGATAAGTGGAATTTTATTATATGTGGAGGAGTAGAGTTGTAGAGGGATTCTTTTTACAATATCACTGATAGCTTCTCACTCTTCCGTTTATCTAACACATCCGGTAATCAAGAGTGAACAGTGGAAAATGTCCAGAGTACACTAAACAGATGTTTTTCTTACCTTCACTATGTCTAGCCTTTTGTCTTTTTTTTTTTTTTTTTTCTTTTATTTTTTTTTTTTTTTTTTTTTTCGACTTCTAGTTCTTTCTGTTCTCTGAATCAGAAATAGGTTATTACCTACCATGGACTTTTCAACAATTCCCATTTTTTGTTGACATATGAAATCATGCCTGTGAATTTGTATTGCATGTATACATTCAGGGTTGTCTACTGGCATGTTTTTCTCATTCACATGATAAAATTAAATATATCTGCATTTCATGGTATTAAATGATAAAATTAAACATATCTGCATTTCATGGTAAAAACCATAACTACAAATTCTCTACCTTGTTAGTGTGTTTGAAATCTACTATTCCACCATATAAATCTTCCTTATCAAACTCCTGCAGCATTTAGTATGCATATTATATAATTATTCCTTTCTTATCTACCATCTTATTTCTCTTAATGTGCAAGTGTAACTGTCTCATTTTTCCAACAAATCATGAGTTTTAATTGGGCATAAATGAAATTCCCTCTTTGACAGTAGATAACTCTTTGAAGCGTGCTGATCAGTTCTTGTGAATACGGCTGGCCATTTTTTCCCCATTTGCTCAGTATCTATTAAGCAATTATAAAGTTTGAGTTAATGCAAGTTGTGAGTTATAAGGAGTTGTGGTTTTTCTTTCATTTATGACTTGCAGCAGTTATTCTCAGCCTCAATCTTCCATCTGTAAATGAGAATAATATTCTTGGCCATGACTAATGCTGTGAGTTTGCAGGGGTTAGATCTGAAAATTAGATGAGGGGCCATTATGAAAGGACTTTGTAAACTCCAAGTTTTAGACAAACAATAAATATTTCCTTCAATGTGGGTAAAGAACCAGTAACTTTTAAGCCTCGATCATTATATATAACTAGAAAAAAAATCTTGACAGCCATCTCCTGCCATTCCTTGTAAGTGCCTGACAGCTTGTAAGTCACCCTTTACTTCCATCTGTCCCAAGTGCCTCCATGGCTGACTGCAGGGAGGCTGCCTGGTAAAGACTTTCAGTTGGCTCAAATGGATTTTGGCCAGAGCCCCCCAGTTGTCTGTGTTTCTCTTGAGGGACTATATGATGAATGAACTTGAAAACATTCAATTTTTTGGTTTTATTTCTATTTTAAATAATGATAAGTCAAAGAAAGAAAAGGAAAAGGCAGAAAAGCCTTCAGGTACTTGCGCTTTGCTCTCATGGTTAAGCTTACTGCTGTGGACTGAATTGTGTCTCCCAAATTTCATATGTTAAAGCCCTGGCCCCCATTGTGTCTGTATTTGGAGATAGGGTCTGTATGGAGCTAATTAAGGTTAAGGAGATCATAAGAGTGGGGCCCTGATCTGAAAGTATTAGTGTCCTTATAAGAAGAGATGCCAGAGGGGCTGGCTCTCCCTTTCTCTTTGTGCTCACAAAGAAGAGGCCATGTGGGGACACAGTGAGGTGGAAGCTGCTTACAAGCCAAGAAGAAAGATCTCACTGGAAATGGACCATGCTGGCATCCTGATCTCAAATTTACAGTCTCCAGACTGAGAAAATAAATGTCTATTGTTTAAGCCACCCAGCCTGTGGTATTTTGCTATGGCACCAGCCTGTGGTATTTTGCTATCTCACATCAAGCAGATTAATACACTTATGATAAATAAAAGGTAATTTAAAGAGAGGCAGCTTTAACTTACATATGCAGTAATGCCAAACTTTCTTTTATGTTAACAGAGTACAATTTAATATCCACAGATTGTGTATACTTTGTGATAGTAGTTCCTTTTTTTTGTTATCTCCTGGGAAACTTTCTTTAAGCCAATATATTGTTTTGTGTTACTAGATATTTCCTTCAGGAATTATTTTGTCTGCTATGCACTGAAGAAAAAACCACATGACGTGAACACCTAACTCTATAAAGAACCTGTCACTCACTGTTTGTGAAAATTGGAACTGTACAGAGTCAGTGTCTTTAGGTGCAGCCTTCCTCCCATTCAAAGCTCCCCATTCATCAGTTTCCCTCAGTTCCAAAACTTGTTGGCTTTGCATTTTTTCTTGCTTTGATCCCTTTATGCTATTTGAATTTGTTAATAATTGAGGGTTGATGTTATCTACATTGTTATGATTATTGCTATATATACACAGTGAGATTGGAAATCTCAAAGAAAACTTGCAACACCTGCTATTTGATTTTCATGGAAGGGAAGTTGCATTAGTGAAGAGGTACTAATTAATGCGATCATGATCAGATTCTGAGATATGACCTAGATTCAGAATTTTAGAGATAATAGGACCTAAGGCATTTTCTGGTCCAATCCTCTTGCATTAGAGATAAGCAAATGTGACCCAGAGACATCAGGACACATTCTCAAGGCTTAAAGCTAGACTGAAGCAGAATTTGGTTCATTCATTCAATTAGTTAGATCATGTGAGTACTGTGTAAAAGATTTCACTTTCTTCCTAGCTTACTCAGAATAAAATCTTGAATTCTACAATGCCCAAATATGGGATAATTAGATGAAGGGTCATTTTGTATTTAATTTTGCCTATAAACATAAACTGTATTACTACTTATCTGAGATAATTTCAAAATCACCTGATTCAATTTCTCATAATTCAGCTTTTCTACAGATAAAGCTTTTGTGGGTTTTCTTGGTTGTTCTCTGACCTATATATAGTGCCATGTGACAACATTCAGGGGAGAGATCAGAATTTAAATACCTTCAAAAGATGGATGGGGTCCATATTCATGTCTACATTTGAGACTCACTGTTTTCTAATATGGCCTTTCAAAGCTAACTCTCTGGTTTTCTCTGCATCTTGGCCATTTAGAGGTAAGCATATCAGACCCAGTTTTAAAAGATACCCTAAAACTCTATTGATATACAAAAGAAGTCTTTTTAAGATCTAAAATTCTATCTAGTGTTATTTAGGCTGAGCATTGTGGCTAAGCCTATAATTCCAGCTCTTTGGGAGGTCAAAGTGGGCTGACTGCTTGAGGCCAGGGGTTCAAGACCAGCTTGGCCAATGTAGTGAGATGCAAAAGAATTAGCTGGGCATGGTGGTGCATGCCTCTAATTCCAGCTACTTGGGAGGCTGAAGCAGGAGATTTGCTTGAACCTGGCAAGTGGAGGCTATAGTGAGCCAAGATTGTGTTACTGCACTACAGCCTACGCAACAAAGGGAGACTGTCTTAAAAAAAAGAGTGTTATTTTACTAAGGTCAGCTAAGATAATGGAGTAATTTAGGTTGTGCAAATTAAATTAAAAAGTGAGCAATTTTGTGCTCTTTCTTTTTACTTACAAAAGCAAAAACACCTTATAGGATACCTTATTATCTTCTCTTTGCCTCATTATCAAAGGAGACAAGAGATGCCAATGAGAGAAGAAACCCATCACTTCTTTGCTATATTTTTGTTTCACCATCCAGCAGCAAAGGTGGGAGCTGCAAAGGAAAGGACCAAGAAGTCCTCTGAAATTTCTAGAACATCTGCACAGGCTTTTGGGGTCAGATTCTCTTGCTTCTTCTACTCTTACTGGTTGTAAGTTGTGGAGAGAATGTAGTACTCAGTCAATTCAATTCTCTGGATCCGTTGGGTAGAGCAACATGCCTATTTCCAGCCCTGGTGGTAGGAAGTTCTACTTTCTAGTCAGACCTTTGTGTCTCAGGCTTCACCATCCAGAGCTGCATTTCCTAGAAGATTAAAATTTATTAGAAAAAATTTGAACAGAGGGTAGTTTCTGGCCATGTTAACAAAGGCAGTGTGAGTGGGAACATTGAATAATTAACTAAAAATAAGCATTAATAGCATTTTCTTTAAAAAATTTGAAATCTCAGTTTATTTTCTTATATCACAGGGCAAATTTGAAACTTTGACACTGACCATTAAAGACAAGTTTTTTATGTTTTTAGATGTAGCTTGTTTTGACCTGCTTCCAAATACAGGCACTTTATAGAATCTGAATTGTACAATTGAATCCCAATGTGTTAGGAGACACCATTGAGATTCTGCCATTGAAGCAAAGAAAAAAGACTGTGAAGTTTTACCAAATGTCAAAAACTGAAAAGAAAATTTATGGAATCCAAAAGCCTAGTAGCTTAGATCTTGGCTAAGTGAATCAATGTTCAATTTACAGTCACGTGATATATGCCACCTTCCTTATGGTAGAAAGCTTTTTTAGGGTAGTGTGATTCTGCATAACTCAGTAATATTGTCTTTTATCTTTCTTGTCTGGTTAAATAATGTGAAAAACAGATGCATGTAAATAATGCTAGAAAATGTTCGATAATATGCAAGTGTAAGATTTTTGTGTCTTAAATTTCCATGTTATGCAAACTTCAAGTCCACTGAATATATGCATTTCAGTTTGGCTGGACAAGAATTACACTTTAGTGTAGGGTTCTGGTTGATTTGACTGTGGTATATTCTCCCAGTGGAATGCAGAGCTACTGAGCTCTATTGGTACAGATATGCAAAGAAATAAAAAATACACTTTTAAAAGGAAAAAGCAAATTGCACAATAGTGCATACACTACATTTTTGAACCATAGAGGAAAGTAAGAATATAAGCTTTGTGTTTGTTTGCATTTGCATAAAGAAAAATTGGAAACATATACAGTAAGGTAATAAAAGATGTTATCTGTAAGGAGAGGGGTAGGGGCAGAGGTAGACAGGAATGGGATTGTAGTATTGGGATTGCTGGGTTGAATGGTAATTCTTTTAGCTCTTTGAGGAATTGCCATACTGCTTTCCACAGTGGTTAAACTACTTTACTCTCCCACCAACAGTGAATAAGGATTCCCTTATCTCTGCAACCTTGCCAGCATCTGTTATTTCTTGACTTTTTAATAATAGCCATTCTAACTATACAGTATGAGACTGTATCTCATTGTGGTTTTGATTTGCCTGTCTCTAGATTTTTTAACCTCATTAATTAATGAGGGAACTACTAAGATGTTATGATTGGTTCAAAGGAGAAATCTAAAGAACCACATAAATAAATACATACAATAAATACAGAAATTTTACAAATAAATGCAAAAACCACTCAATATTCACAGGATACTAGTCAATTATATTCCACTGAACATCACAGCTTATTTTCATTTCTACAGACAAGAATAATTTGTATTCATTTCTATTGCATTTCTATGGATAAGAATAACTTGCATTATTGTAAGGATCTACAATTTGTGAAGTAAAATAGAATTGCTGTAATGTCTCAGAGAGAGAACTTTATCAATGAATTTAAATTATTATGGCTCATTTCAATAATAGTAAAAGTGAAGTATCAATTGTATGACATTTAGAAGACTATTACTTTTTGCAACTCTAGAAACATGGTTTTAACTCTCGTCACAATAAAAGTAATTCACTAATATTTATAAATTGTTACTCATCTGCAAGAGGTAGATAATAATGAAAATCAATACCTGCTACATGTTGTTGTTGTTTTTTTCCCCATTGGCTAGTTTTAAGATAAGATTTCTTTTCTTTCTTTTTTCTTTTTTTTTTTTTTGAGATGGAGTCTCACTCTGTCACCAGGCTGGAGTGCAGTGGCGCAATCCTGGCTCACTGCAACCTCCCCCTCCCCAGTTCAAACGATTCTTCTGCCTCAGCCACCCGAGTAGCTGGGACTACAGGTGTGCCCCACCACGCCCAGCTAATTTTTATATTTTTAGTAGAGACAGGGTTTCACCATGTTGGCCAGGATGATCTTGATCTCTTGACCTCGTGATCCACTCACCTCAGCCTACCAAAGTGCTGGAATTACAGGAGTGAGCCACTGCGTCCGGCCGTGGCTTGTTTCTTAATTGGAAGTATGAGGTTGGAGTTTTTGGTGAAACTTAAAATCCTACTTAATTCTCACTGCCCATTTGCTTTGCCAATTTATTCATGACAGTTTTTTTCAATGTCTCAGGTGCTGGGAACTTAGTGCTGGAGACATCAAGTGGATTTATCAAGCACCAATCTTAGCAGCTATTGGGGTAAGTTTAAAAGTTTGTATAGTTAAAAAAGAGATGAATAATTAAACTGCTGCTAAAACCCAGAGAAAGTGTGCCTGTCATTGCATTCTGCAATAGATTTGAGAAACTTACATGTATAGCAACAACTGTTGGGAGAGTCTGGGATAGAGATCAGACTCTTATTGTGACTGACACTGAGACTCATGCGGAAAGCCTTCTTTTAATCAGCTAGCCCTTGGGGTCAATTGTGAGACTTCAAAACATCTATGAACATTTATATGTTTTGGGAGTTAGAAGGCCCTAAGTCTCCTTTTTATTCATTATATTATTTTACCATTTTAACATTCTGATCACTTGGTAGTAGGTCAGTATGATAGGAAATGAAAGATGAAATAGCAGGAAAACACAGAAGTTACTGACAGAGAATGGTAATATGATATATAAAGTATTCCCTAAGGCTTTTATTTGGGATACTTCCTCTAAGGAGTTAAATGGATCCTATACCAAGAAATATCCCAAATAATTCTATCTAATAGGATAGAATATTAGAATGGAAAGTAATGGCAAAAAACACAATACTTTTTCACTAACCTAATAATAGGGAGAAAGACTAGAGTCCACAATGCATGTTGCACTGGGCGTTATCTGCCTGTAATATCTCCAATGCACATTGCATCTATGTTGCAAAGGAAAACAAAATCACACACTTCTTTGTATCTAATAAAACTTATCAAAATGTTTACTCTTGATCTTCTTTGAAGACTTTAAGGAATCAGCTTCTTTTGATTTGTTAAAGAAATTATGCTACTTTGTGTTTTACTGCTGTTCATGTATGTAATACATGTTACAAGCATTTTAAAAAGAGAATTACTATCTCAATAATAAATTTAAATTATAAAAAAATAGCAATTTGATTATTAACTAATTTCGATGTTTTTCTTTGTTCCCCAGTTTCATATTCTTCTTGTTTTCTTTTGGACAGTGTGTCACTATTTTCTCAGAAGGGTAGCTATTGATGTGGTTGAGGTTTTGTAGGCTCATCCAAAGAATCAGATAAGAGCTTATTTACCTCATAGGAAAAATGCATAAAGAAAATAGGAGAGGTCAAAAGGAATCCTCATTGTAGAAGCCCATTGAAAGAAATGTTTAGAGAGGGAAATAAAATATAGAGCACTCTTAGAGAAGCTATTTTGTAGCCTTGCTAAACCATCCTATTAACAAATTGATTCTAATTCCATATATTCTAGGAGAAACTAAAAAATGGATTATGGATAAATGAATGACTTAAATGTATAGACACCTGTAATTTTAATTTTTAATGTAAATGAAATGCTGCTGTATTAATCTGGTGATAAACAATCCTAGATCTACAACTATATCCCTGAGAGACAGCAATGAACTTAAAGATAAAAATTAACTGCTCAGATTTCTTTTTTACCCATTGGTACTGTACTTAATCCGTATTTATTATACTTTCAAGCCTTTTACTTTCTTCCTTTTTAATTCCTCATCTATGTGTTTGCTCCTCAATATCTTGCTGTTATCTTTTTAAGGGGACAATCTATATCTTATTACTTTTTCTTTGTATTTAGTGTCTTGTACTGAGACTGATCAATAAGAGATAATGCTCTTAAATTTGCCTACATTTTAATATGATTATATAATGATTACATTTGATTTTGTATTTGATGAAAATGAAGGCAAAATCCAAGAGATCCTTGTAAAATTACCAGGAATTGAAGCAAAGGACAGTGGAGAAAAGGAAATCCTAGGGCATTTTTTCATGGAAGTGACTGATTTTTATCCAAAGCTTTATAGTTTATTTACAGATCAAAGTCACGCACGTCATCAACAGGGATGAAAAATTTATTTTCTGAGGTTTCTAATTTGCAGTATGAAACAGTAAAGCTAGGTGATTAAAGGGCTTCTGAAGATTCACCATTGGTGATGGAGAAATAGAAGTGACAGCACACTCAATAAACTTTGAAGAAAATTCATATGGAAGGCCATTTCCATCTTCTTGAGCTAAAATTATGACAGTTCTAAGCTAAGAATTCTGAAGTACTTTTCCTATATTACAAAGTTCATTTAATCTCAAAAATCACAGTTGAGATTCAAGAATAGCTTTCTGTTCACTGACAGTTACCCTTTTGTTTCATGATTACAAGTCAGCGTTATCACAATTCCCTTGAAGGTTCTTAATGTACTCATAATCTGCTAGTGGATCTGAAAGTTTTCATAAAACGTCAAGAATTGGATTTGAAATAAATATTTTACTTATTTTAATCAATAATTTAAAGAAGGCTGAGTTATGAAAGAGAAAAACTGAAAAAGCAAGTAGAAAACTACAGGAAAGAAAAAATAGAATTATAAAGAAAAACTCCAAGGTGGAATTTTCAATTCAAAAGGGGAATACCTCAAGAGACAAGAAGACACACTTCAAGAAAAGAGAGCTCCTAGGAAAGAGATGTGCCCCTTCTGGGAATAAGACTGTGGAAGGCCTGTGTGGATAACTGTATGGTGTGTAACACCAGGTAGTTAGATTGCCTATGGTAACAGTTCAGAAGATTAACTTAAAGCACATACAGAAATCCTGGAAATCCAGGGGTTTGGAATATACATAGTGAACTCAAGTTGATATGTTTTAAAACCTGGATTCCAAAAATAATGATTATTTTACTTAGAATGCCAAGACAAGAGCTCTGTAAGCACTACTGACTTTCAGGAAAAAAAGTACTTTAATATCTGCACTGGAAGTAAATAATAAACAAACATGAGCAAAGATGGTAGTGATTAATGGGGGACATTTATTCCTCGCCGATTGGCAGGTTGTATGAGAGCATTCCAATGGTCTGCGCCAGGGTCGAGTGTGGGTGTAGAATAGTGTCAGGCGCTGAGGCGACAAAGGAGGCAGGGCCAGACCCTGAAGGAGTTTCTAAACCTCACTAAAGAATTGACACCTAATCCTGCAAGGGGTGACAACCAGAAGTTTAGACATTGGAGAGTGAAGGAATCAGGTTTTTCATTTGGAAAGATCTCAGGGCTTCATTGAAGCTGGCAGTGGAGTAACCACTGTGGGTGTCTCCTGGGTAGGGTTTTAAGCCACAGTGATGGCGAGTGGAAAGGACATGGGTCTGAGAGAGTTAGGGTTGTGGAATTCTGAGCACTGTCCCTTTAAACTCGGCATACACATTTTCCTCATTTCCGTGACCTGGTCCCTTTTTCCTCCCCCATCTCATGTCATGTCATCTTCTTGGTCCTGCTGCCTCAGCTCCACACAATGGCTTTCTTTAGTTCCCTAAACATGCTTCATGTTCCCACCTCAGGGCCTTTGCATGTGCTGTTCTGTATACCTGACATGCTGTTCCCCCTGCTTGTCCATTCTTCCTTCAGGTATCAGCTGATGGACAACCTCTTCAGACAGCCCTTTTCTGACCACTTGACAGTGTCACCTTGGTGACAGCATAGGCTCTGGGCCAGGCTGCCTTTTTTTGAATCCTAGGTCTGCCCTTTTGTCAAGTGTACAGGCTGAAATTTTATGGTGCAGGCTGGCCTTGGGAAAGTTATTTAAACTCACAGTCCCCTTTTGCCATCTGTAAGATGGGAATAATAGTGTAGATTACAAGAGTTAGTCATTGGACTGAGTTAGGAACAGTGGCTGGCACATAGCGCTGTAAGCATTAGCTATTATCATTTTTACTTTTCATGTGTTGATAACTTATCCACACTCCAGGTAGACTTCTCCTCCCCGCAACACATTAACTTAAAAAATGTCTCCATAAAGTCATAAAAATAATATTGGTTTCTGAACCGCAATAAGACTAGCACATTGTGCCTTGTATATCAGTAAGTGGCCGTTCCGACCTGAGGGGACTCCCAGGGACGATCTGGCTTCCCAGACTCCACGGTCCCCTAGGATGACACCATGAGTGCTCCTGTGTTTGTGCACAGGACCTTCTGATTGCAGAATGTCCACACTTTTTGTATCCTACAAAACCTGGCATACCATTGGTTTGGTTATTTTTCAAAAGGCTGTAAAGTTATCTACACAAAATGATATAATTATTACCTCTTGTTGGTGAGTAGAGTTTATTTTTACCGTTTTGTTAAACACTTTAGCATTATCCATTTTAGGAGTATCAGAAGGCCTTACTTTATGATCGAGAAATTGATATTTACATTTGAAAAAAGCTCTCACTTTTGTAATTTTTCAGGTAAACTATTCCATGATTCACCTTCTATTCAAACACAGTAAAATATGATGTGAGAAAGTGTAACATACTGTTTTTTCCACTTTCACCTCCTTGCTTCCTATGTGAGGTCCTGTTATTAAATGCAATAAATACTTGATTAAAAAGAAGCATCTTCCTAAGTACATTTCTTGATCTTCCCCGTAACTTGCTGGCAAACCAGGCAGATAGTAAGTTAGTGCCCCTGTGATGAACCTGACGGGCACGCAAGGTCTCTTCTCTCCAGGACTGCGTGAAGATGTAAAGATGGGGGAAGCTCTGCCACACCAGTGCATGATCTGTCTGTCCAGCCCATTTGAAATGCACGTGGACACGGTATGAAGGACTAAGGAGGTCTGCCCTTTCTTGGAGTGATGCCAAATGTGTCACAGTAGTGACAGCATAGACTCTGGGCCAGGCTTTCTTTGTTAGTCCTGCCCTTCTGTTGAGTGTGCAGGCTGAAATTTTACTGGGCAGGCTAGGCTTGGGCAAGTTTTAAAAACTCAGGGTCCACTTTTGCCACCTATAAAATGGGAATAGGCCAGGCATGGTGGCTCCTGCCTGTAATCCCAGTGCTTTTGTAGGCATAGGCAGGAGGCTAGCTTGAGGGCAGGTGTTCAAGATCAGCCTGGGCAACAAAGCAAAACCCCTAATTCTTTTTCCAATAATGACTGTACCTACTCACATTCATATTAGCAGAGTACAATTATTTTTTCTCTCCATATCCTAGCTAACATTTATCTTTTGTCTTTTTGAACTATCAATGGCCATTAAGCCATTCTTTGTTTTTTG